TTAACTTATTGTTTATTGAATTCAATGTCACATTTGTAATCAGTAATTTTTGAAGAAAAACTGCACTCTTCGTGTGAAATTGAATAACTATATGAAGTGGTATAAATATATAAATTTTCTGCCATCATGTCTTGAATTTGTGATCATTCTAAATGCATTTTAATAGACTGAATCATGCAGTGAAAGAACACACACTAAATGCACACACGCACTAGTCTAGACTTCACATAATGTATGCGTGCGCTCTGTAGGGATGTTTTGAATGGTTTTTGCAAAATACTCGATAATGTCAAATCGCACATCGTTAAAACAACAATTACGATATTATCGCAGACGATATATATCGCGCACCCCTATGTCAGTGTCATTTGAACTATTTCAGTTTTACATAAATATGCCTGTTACGCTGAATAACGATGGAACATTATTTCACCCATATTTTACAGTTTTCACAAAAGTTATTTGAAACATTAAAGACACTTTACTTTGCATTTAATATGCTTTCTGTGTTTTAAAAAAAATCACTTTTTTAAATTGGACGCAGACACCAAAATGGGATGTCATGTCTTTGACCCCCGAACTTAAGTGCAATAAAAAATCTAGTATTTTTGTACTTTTACTGAAGTGAAAATGAGTACTTTTACTGGAATAATATCTTGTTAGGGTATCTGTACTTTTACTCAAGTATTTGTGTTATATAATTATTTGTGTTCTTCATCCAGCACTGATTTTGAGATAATGTTTGAGGGGATAATGTGTGTGTGTGTGTGTGTGTGTGTGTGTGTGTGTCTCTCTCTCTCTGTGTGTGTGTGTGTGTCTCTGTGTGTGTGTGTGTGTGTGCGTGTGTGTGTGTGTGTCTCTGTGTGTGTGTGTGTGTGTGCGTGTGTGTGTGTGTGTCTCTGTGTGTGTGTGTGTGTGTGCGTGTGTGTGTGTGTGTCTCTGTGTGTGTGTGTGTGTGTGCGTGTGTGTGTGTGTGTCTCTGTGTGTGTGTGTGTGTGTGTGTCTCTGTCTCTCTCTGTGTGTGTGTGTGTGTGTGTCTCTGTGTATGTGTGTTTGTGTGTGTGTGTGTGTGTGTGTGTTGTAGCCTGTGACGCGGGCCGCTGGGGTCTGGACTGTGTGAATGTGTGTGACTGTCAAAACGGTGACGGAGGCTGTGATGCTCAGACCGGACGCTGTCAATGTGAGGCGGGTTTCACTGGACCTCGATGTGACCAGAGTGAGTAAAACAACACTCACTGCATTCCTGCAGATCAAACAGAACAGCGCTTGCAATGCTAGCTCTACCTTAAATGCAATCTAAGTTGCTTTGGATAAAAGCGTCTGCCAAATACATAAATGTAAACGTGTGTTAAAGAAACACATGATACTTTCTGTAGGATGCACTTTACAATATCATTGTCAAAATTATTTCAGTTTCATTATATTGCATATTTAATATTTGGTTATGGTTTTCGTTGTTAAAACGCGGTGACATCTCTGCATTCATTGTTTTATTTTAGACTAAAAGTTCTATATTCCATGTATATCTAATATCTTTTTTAAATGTTACAGTATTTATGATAATGAAATACAAAAAAAAAACATAGGAAAATGTGCAATATAAAATAAATAAATAAACAGTATGAAAAAATAATAAAATTAATTAAAAAGATAGTTGAAACAACATTTTTTATTAAAATAATTTAAGTAAAAAAGTATTTATTATATTATATTATATTATATTATATTATATTATATTATATTATATTATATTATTAGGGAAAATATTTAAGATACAGTTACTATAACCATTTCCTTTAGGTTTTTTCTTCTATGTATTTATTTTATTTATTTGCATTTTGCCTTCTCTTATGGATGTTAAATGGTTTTGCAGGTTGACAGATGAATTTCTAAATGTACAAATATTTTACTTAGTCTCTTAATTCATATGTGCTTATAAAATCACCATGTATAACAATTATTTTTAAAAATGGAGATATAATATGTAATTTTTTCCCTTGTAGAGTGGAATTATTTGAGATTTAATAGTTCTTCTATATTCCATGCATACTGCTATATCTGTACAAGTGTTACAGCATTTAAGGTACTAGTATTCATTATTAATATTTGATAATAAAATATGAGGAAAAGAATCTGAAAACATGCAAAATAAAATAATGCATAGTTGATACGTTGCATTTATATGTGTATATTAGGACAAATGTATATCTAAGGTCCTGTAACTTTATCCATTTATTTATTCAAACCATTTTGCCTTCACTTATTCATTTTAAATAGTCTTGCAAGTTGACAAATGTACACATTCCATATATTTTCTTATTTTAGATTTGACAGTCTTCATGTGTGCCTTCTATCTGTTATAAATGTTACAGTATTTATCATGCATTTGATGTGATCTGTGTCTGTCCCAGAATGCCCTGCTGGTTCATTCGGCCTGGGCTGTAAGCATCGCTGCCAGTGTGACAACCAGGCGTCATGTGACCATGTGGGCGGAGCTTGTACCTGTGAGATTGGCTGGACGGGAACATTCTGTGAAAAACGTATGATTGTTCCACTTAACATATATTAACATCAGTCATGTTTTGGGTTTTTGATTTGTTTGTGTGTGTGTGTGTGTGTGTGTGTGTGTGTGTCCAGCCTGTCCGCAGGGTTTCTATGGTCTGGACTGTCAGCAGAAGTGTGTGTGTAGGAACGGAGCTCTCTGTGATCATGTCAGTGGTGAATGTGCCTGTCGTCCTGGCTGGATCGGCCCACACTGTAACCAAAGTGAGCTTATTCTTAAAGATGTTTAACTTTTGTAGCATTTTATCTTCACTTCTATGCTTTATAACTGTACCTTTAATAGACCTCTTCAGCTAGGACATTGCTAAAGTTGTTAAAACCGAACAGCCTTTTCAAAAAAGGAGGATTTGTGCAGTCAGCAGGATCTCGAGCGCACGTTATGATTATAATTTCTTCTTTTACGAGCACATCTGTCTTTCTGGCTCGCACACAATGAGACGTTTTCCAGTGAGTAATGTCCGTGCTGTTTGTCTGGTCTGCAGCGTGTCCTGCTGGATTGTATGGAGCGAGCTGTTCTCAGACCTGTGTTTGTCACAATAACAGCAGCTGTGATGCTGCAAGCGGTCAGTGTGAGTGCAGCGCAGGGTGGACGGGAGACACCTGCTCACAGCGTAAGATATGTCATTCAAATGTTTTATATATATATGTCTGTACTAAGAAGTCTCTTCTGCTCTCCAAGGCTGCATTTATTTCATCAAAATATAGTAAAAACAGAAATAATTTTTACAATATTTAAATAACCACTTTCTACTTTAATATATTTAATAATGTAATTTATTCCTGTGATGCAAAGCTGAATTTTCAGCACCATTACTCCAGTCTTCAGTGTCACATGATCTTCAGAAATCATTCTAATATGCTGATTTGATGCTCAAGAAACATTTATGATTATTAGCAATGTTGAAAACAGTTGTGCTGCTTCATATTTTAGTGGAAACCGTGATACTTTTTTAAATTATTTTTTTAGTGAATAGAAAGTTCAAAAGAACAGCATTTATTTGAAATAGAAATCTTTTTTAATAATATACACACTCACCAGCCACTTTATTTAGGTACATGTTTAACTGCATGTTAACACAAATATCTAATCAGCCAATCACATGGCAGCAACTCAATGCATATAGGGTATGTTTACATGATGACAATATGCTAAAAACAGAAAACGGATCCTTAAAAACGACTAAAACGCTGTATTATGCACCAGGCCAGTAGGAGGCAATCACTTTGTAAAGAAACATGTAAACATGTTATGTCACCTTTTTCACAAATTCCCATTTAGGTAGTTCACAAGACGACGATAATGGTATCATTTACAAAAAACCGGGCACTTTGAAAGCCATTTTCAAAAGTTTGCGTTTTCGAGCCCCTAAAATGCCGTTGTCATGTACAAACCCGATTCCAAAAAAGTTGGGACACTGTACAAATTGTGAATAAAAACAGAATGCAATGTGGAAGTTTCAAATTTCAATATTTTATTCAGAATACAACATAGATGACATATCAAATGTTTAAACTGAGAAAATGTATGTTTATGAGATTTGTAAATTATTCCATTCCTTTTTTACTCAATTTGTAGTGTCCCAACTTTTTGGGAATTGGGTTTGTAAATGAACGGCCAAAACACACAAAAAGTTTTCCATTTTTTGTTGAAAACGGTGTTGTGTAAATGTCCGCTTAGGCATGTTCAAGACAGTATGCTTAAAGTCAAACTTAGCATCAGAATGGAGAAGAAAGCTGATTAAATGACTTTGAACGAGACTTGATTGCTAGTTTCAGACGGGCCGATCTGACTATTTCAGAAACTGCTGATCTGCTGGAATTTTCATGCACAATTATGTGGGGGGTGGTTGCTGCGATGGAGTGGGGTATGAGTGGTCATGAACGAATGAATGAAACACATTTGTCCGTGTTTCACTCCGTCTTGAATCGCGCTCACGGAAAGCGCTTGAGAAACAGTGGGCCCTATCATACACCCAGCGCAATGCTGTGTTTTTTGCTAGTTTCAGCCCTACGCAGTTGTTATTTTCATGTCCTGCGCCGCGTTGTTTAAATAGGAAATGCATTTGTGCACTCACAAGTGTGTTCAGGCGCATTTCTGGCTCATTGCTATTTTGAGGCAACTGAAATAGACTGCGCCATTGACCAACAAAAACCTGGTCTAAAGTCAATGGCGCAGTAGTTTTTTTGTTATATAAAGAGCACGTTAGTATAGGCGTGTCCACAGCGTGCGTACAGTCTGCTTATTACACACAGGGACGCACATCAGCACACAAACATGCCAAATATTAAAAATTAAAGGATTACAATGTAAAAGATTATTATTGTGTAGGCTACATAAATGTAAAAATGCCTACATGTCATAATGGATAGTCATTGCATGTATCAGAATTAGGCTACATATTTGCTCGCGTAGGAGCAGCTCCGTTTCATCTCTGGAGAGGTTTTTCTGTCTTTGTGCTTGCAAATTCCGCCGTGTAAATAGCAAATATGCCATGGCACGAGCGCAACTGGCTCTTAAAGGGGTCATATGATGTTGCTAAAAAGAACATTATTTTGTGTATTTGGTGTAATGAAATGTGTTTATGTGGTTTAAGGTTCAAAAAACACATTATTTTCCACATACTGTACATTATTGTTTCTCCTCTATGCCCCGCCTTTCTGAAACGCTTCGATTTTTACAAAGCTCATCGGTCTGAAAAGCAAGGTGTGCTCTGATTGGCCAGCTATCCAGCGTGTTGTGATTGGCCGAATTCCTCTTTGCGTGAACATTTGGGCGGCGTTATGCAAATCTTCCCACATCGTGACGTAGACATGTGGGGGCGTGTTAGAACGAGGCGTTTTAGGTAGGCGTGGTTGACTCTGAACTTTTATAAAGAATATCTCTTTGGATTTGAGACTTTAGTCTTTGCAACTTTACAGATCTTCTTTATGCACCAAGAGCTTGTAACACTCCAAAGAGAAAGGAAAAATTGAAATCGCATCATATGACCCCTTTAAAGGGAATGGGAGATGAGACTCTTATTGAAGTGGGGTATGAGTGGTTATGAACGAATGAATGAAACGCATTTGTCCGTGTTTCACTCCGTCTCCAATCGCGCTCGTGGAAAGCGCTTGAGAAACAGTGTCTATTCCGCGGCTCGGTACGCTTTCAACTCATTTTTTAGTCTGGAGCGAGACTACGACATTCACATTACATGATTTAACTGATTCTTATGTAGAAAGGGCGACAGCGCACCACATTAAAATAAATGATCATTCATGTTTTCATAACCGCTGGCCAAATTCAAAAACGAAACTAAAATTAAATCATCTTTGAGAGTGAGATGATTTAGGGCCCTACGCAGCTTGCGTATTTTGCGTATAGGGAGGATCTGCTCTGTATTTATGTACTGTAATCATGCATATTTATTTGAGTAAAAGTAACTAAGACCCATTATGCTCACTGACAGTGTGAAGAGTAGAGTAGGCCTCTAATGAAGCACAGCAGTGATTTTGTGGCCTGTGTACTGTATGGTTTTTCTTTGAGTCTGTATAGTTTTGGATGATGTTCTAGTTCCGGTTTTGTATTCCTCCTTTTCCAGGTTGTTCTCCTGGATTCTTCGGGACGGGCTGTGCTCACAGGTGTTTGTGTCAGAGCGGGGGTTCATGTGACCCTGAGAGCGGCCGCTGCTTCTGTCCCAGCGGATGGACAGGTTCAGCCTGTGAACTAGGTGAGTGACTTGGATCCTTAGATCCTTGTGCTGAATTTGCCTGCAATATTCTCCCGGTCTGGCTGTGGTGTGAGATTTAAGTAATGTGCATATTTATATATACACTTAATTGTAATTGACAGTGTCAAGTGCAGTGTGCTGACTACAGAACAAACGTACTGCGTAGGAAACTATTACTGGCAGTGTGGAAGCTGTGCTTTTTTACATTTTATGTTTTATTTTTTTGCTTCTTTAGTAGCATTGAGAGAGAGAGCATGAAATAATCAGGACATGAAGCAAACCAGATCATCTCAAATCTAAAGTTAGAAATAAAGCAAAAAGTCAGGATATGATGTGCGTGATACAGCTGTTTTGTTCACATTATATACATATATTTTGTATATATACATATATATATTGTGTATATAGAAATACACAAACATGTATATATTTAAAAAATATTTACATGTGTATGTATATTATATTTGAATATATATATATATATATTCAAATATAATTTATATTATATAATTATTACTATTTTAAATATAAACAAATCATATTTTTCTTAAATATATAGATGTATGTTTGTGTATTTCTATATACATAATAAATATACACAGCACACACACATATATCATGTAAACAAAAATATTTATTTTGGATGCGATTAATCGTTTGACAGCAATTCCAATTCTCACTATCAGCTAGCTGCTTATGAGCATGCATATTACTAAGATATTGGCTATTTATCAGTACTTATAAATCACATATGAATGGCTTATTCTACATGACCATATTTTAGATCTGTTAACCCTATCCTATACCTAAACTTAACAACTACCTATTACGTACTCATAACTATTCATAAGCAGCAAATTAAGCGTTTATTGAGTTTACTGAATAGTGAGAATTGTTCTCCAAACTAAAGTGTGACCAAATTTTTATATATTTTATATGTAGCGGGTCAACATCATAACTCATATTCATATACTAAAAATACAGTTCTGTAAATTTTTACAACAATAAAATCTTCAAATATTCGTTTTCTGCATCATACTCTTATGTTATAAAACACATTTCATCATAACTCATTTATAATCATCAGCATGCTGCAAAATACACATTAAAATCCCTTTAACAAGCTCTTATATCTTCAGCGGGAACAGAGTTTCTATGTAACCATTTTCATTGGTCATCATCACACAGCTGCTACGCTAGTATCATTCAAATTGTAACCATCACACAGGACACAATTTATCAGAGTATTCCCATTAACAGATACAGTTCCCTAAATTCCCTGAATAAAATTCCTTAAGTACATATTTACAATTTCTGAATCTCCTTTGACTAAATTATCACATTCTGAGATCGTTTTCCATTTATATTTATCATAAATTAGTCAATTAATTAAAAAAAATACATTGCAAATGTGATTACACTTGGTTGTACCACATATATATTATAAATAAATAAAATGGATATTCAGTAATGGATCTCCATGTGCTGACGGAAAATTTGAAAAAAAAAAAAAATTTGTTGGGAAGCTGCTGATTTCCAGACATTACATCATATATATAGTGTCATACTGGTGTTTCACTTTTCAGTATTTGTTGACTTGTGTGTCAGATGGTTTTGGCAACCGCAGACACTTGAGTCACAGCCTTCGTTTCAAGATCCTGCTTTCTTCTCCTCACACCTCATAAAAATTTTGAGCACTGCTGCAGGTTCATTTAGTCTCAGTCTCAATGCCAATGCTAACATAAGTGAAGTGAAGTGACGTGAGTGATGTGACATGTGGCCAAGTATGGTGACCCATACTAGGAATTAGTGCTCTGCATTTAACCCATCCTAAGTGCACACACACACCATGAACACACACACAGCAGTGAACACACACCCGGAGCAGTCAGCATAAAGCACAGCATTCATAAAATAAAATCATCAACATCAATATAATGAAAAAATAACAATGTTTAGTGAATAATTCAATGTATTATTTTTTTCTTATTTAGTCTGGACTTGTGGTTGCCATTCCCCTCTCTCCTCTCTAGTTGTCTAGTTGTGTATTTTTGACCGTAAAAAATAAATAAATATATATATATATATGTATAATGTATATTTCCCATTTTTTCATCTTTTGCTTACAATTTTGCAATGAATTTAGAGTCAAACAATGGTTTTTCTGTAATTGATGTATATAAATATGATACATATGTATGTACAAAAAACAAGCGTATATATGTGCAGAATTTATAATTGATGTATGTAAATATGAATATGTAAATTATATAATTGAGATATACAGTATGCATATGTTTTACATTTGCATAGATTAGAATGATATATTATCTGGTTCTACAATCAGATTTTGTATTTACATATAATAATTTAAATATTATATAATATTATAAATTAAATGATATAATGCATGTTTTATATTTCTATATTTATGTATTTATTACATATTTAAATATGATTTACATCTATGTTTTGAAAATATGTTTTATATGAACCTGTGTGTGTGTGTGTATTTGTGGGTGTGTGCATGTGTGTGTGTGTGTGTGTGCGTGCATGCGGTCATAATGTGCAGCGGGTGTCTTCGGGTCGGACTGTCAGGACAGATGTGAGTGTGTGAACGGTGCTCAGTGTGACAGACAGACGGGTCAGTGTGTTTGTCAGGCCGGCTGGACGGGACAGCGCTGTGAGAACGGTAAGACCATCTCAACTTACTGTCCCAACAGGAAATAAAATAAACCCAGCTTTTCAATATAGATACACAAGATCTGTCTCCTCCTAGTGCTCAGTTATAAATGTTTTCTGATAATTAAGAGAATGATTTTAATGACTTTCAGGAGATTACAGTATTACAGTCATATTCACACTGAGAGAATGACTGAACATGCCTATAAAATCTGTGTGTGTGTGTGTGTGTGTGTGTGTGTTTTGTCTTGTATACATATGGGGCCCAAATGAGTGTAAAACTGAAAAGTCTTGATTAGGTCAGTATAACATCAGCAGTGTGTGTGTTTGTGTGTGTCAGCGTGTGTATGGGGGCGGTTTGGAGTCGGCTGTGAGGGCCGGTGTCAGTGCCATCACGGAGCCCCCTGTCATCATGTGAGCGGTCAGTGTTTCTGTCCTGCAGGATGGAGAGGAAGACACTGTGAGAAAGGTCAGTTCATCGCCTGTGTGACCCAGACCACTTCAATGTCCAGGATGTTGTATCTAATAATTTAAATAATTATAAAACAATGATTAAATCATTAAAGTTATCACCTGTAATAAATTATTTTATTAGACGGATCTGTGGAATACTTGATTCTGATTGGTCAGTCGCGACATTATCCCTCGTTATTACACGGCTCTGTGGAATACTTGATTCTGATTGGTCAATCGCGACATCCTTAGGTATGTTATCCGTAAAAACAAATCTTTTTAGCCGTGTAATAAGCGGGATAATGTACATCCAGCCGGTTTTTATCTCAGAATAAACCCCTTCAGGCTGATACACCCTGTCGGGGTTTATTCTGAGATAACAACCGGCTGGATGTACATTATCCCTTACATAACAGCCAGTAAAAACTGATAACACAGGCTCATCCGGGTAACTGAAGTCAGCGCTATACTCTTGCCAGGAACAGTTTTTTCTTGGTGGAAGCTTTGCATTTGTTTAGCTAATAAAATTATTATCGTGGACTCGCTCTCGTTTCAACGATTGTTTTGTACGCTGTAATGGATTATAAGATAACTAACAAACTGGTAAGATTTTAAAACATTTTCGTTTTAAATCTTTTATCGCCATAATTATTTATGTGATGAAAGGTTGTGTAACTGCACTGTATCCCTTAAATGTTTGTCTAGTTTGAACTTGCCGCAATATTTTGTGTCTAAATATTTACTGCAATGTAATATAAAATTCATATAAAAATAAATAAAGAAAAAATTTAAATGTAAATATTAGCATTGTGTTTTTTAAGTGTATTATAAAATAATTGTATTTTTATTTAACACTCATTTTTTATTTTAAAATATAATAGTATTATCACACTTTATTATTTTATTTAAAAAATAATCTAATTAAATGAAGCACAATTATATTCTTTTTAATATTAATTATTTAATTTTTTATAGTTATATTTAATGGCTCACACTATGTGCAGTGTGAGCACCAAACCAGATCTCTAGGTACTCTCATGAGAACCAAACCGGAAAACTTGTGTGCTCCCCTGTATATATATAATTATTAAATAATTATTCAATTAATAAATTATATAAAAATTATTAATTTATATTACATTTTAAGTGTGTGTCCAGTATCTTGGTGCGTCCAGTGTGTGACACTTGTGTGTGTGTGTGTCAGCGTGTCTGCCGGGCTCATATGGTCAGGACTGTGTCCAGCGCTGCTCCTGCCCGCCGGGCACATCGTGCCATCACGTGTCGGGATGCTGCGGCTGCCCTCCCGGCTACACGGGCAGCGGCTGCGAGCAGAGTGAGTGTCTGAGCTTCACTCCTACTGCACGACATGCCAAATTACTGCAGAAAAAAAGATTGTTTTAAAAAAGAATATCATCTGAGTCTGTCTCAACAGCCTGTCTGCCCGGCACCTTCGGCATCAACTGTAATCAGGTGTGTCAGTGTTCAGAGAGAAACCAGCTGTGCCACCCGCTGTCTGGAGAGTGTTACTGTGCGCCTGGATTCACAGGACCCAAGTGTGAACAGAGTGAGGCATGCACTTACATTTACTGGAGAGATATTGGTACTGTGAAGAACGTTTTAGGTTTGTTCCTCTGCTGTGCTTTAGATCAGGGGTTTAAAAAACTGGAGTTCATTAGAGAGCTGCAAGGGGTTTGTGAGTTGAGTAGCTTGACTGATTAAATCCTAGAAAATGTCCTAAAATACAGAAAATCCTAAAAATGTAAATTGAAGTACATTTTAAAATAAAACATACAAAAAATGTCATTAAAACATAATACAATTATACATTTTAAAATAGATTTACAGTACATTTTATATTTTATATGATTTTATACATTTGGGCAAGAGTTTTAGTTTGATTGTTTTTAAGGTAAATTTTAAAATACAACAAACTTGAAATCTAACTAAAAATTTTAAAATGAAAAATTAAATACAATTTTAAAAAACAAACTGAAACACAAAAAAATAAAACCTACATTAAAAAAAAAATAAAAAGCTACGTTTAAAATTAATTAATAAAAAAAAATAAAACAAAGTAAAACACTAAATAAAAATTAACAAAATCATAAAAGTCTTACCAAAATACATACAATTATACAAATATAAAATTAAATTTAAGGTAAATTTTAAAATACAAACAAACTTAAAATATAATTAAAACTTAATAAAAAAGTAAAATTAAATATTAATATTAATTATAAAATTATTAATAATTTTGAGATAAAAAGAAACTAAACTCTTACCTAAAATGTATCAAATCATAAAAATGTAAAATTAAATACATTTTAAAATTAAAAAAACAAAGTACAACTTAAAACATTTAAAAATAAAAACACTAAAACCAATTTTATTTTAATCATGAAAATGTGAGGTTACAAAAATAAATCTTAAAATAAAAACAATCAAGCTAAAAATGTTTAAAATCATAAAAAATGTACAGTTAATAATTTTAAAATAAAAACAAGCTGAAAAGCTAAAAATACAATCCTAAAAATGTCAAATTTAAATAGATTTAAAATAAAAAACTAAAACACAAAAATAATAAAACCATAAAAAAAATAATTAAAATAAAATTGAAATATTTTATTTGTCATGTCACCATGACCCAACATTGGCGAACCATAAACAAGTCAATGTGTTGTTATTTTATTGTAATATTAAAGGATGCTTTTCAAGTAAATATTTTGTCAAAAGGGGTTTGGCTGAATCTCTGCTTCAGATAATAGTGGAGGCAGGGCTAATTCTAAAGCTCTAAACGCAGCACATGCTCATAAAGCTTTTGTTTTCTGTCTGTCTGAGGAGAAACAAGTGTGTCGTTGATAAATATTGACTCTGATCAGATGTAAGGTTGCAGCTTTTCATTTCATCAGGTTTATGATGTGCTGCTGTTGTTTTGCATGTTTTTTCCTCATTCTCTCGTGTGTGTGTGTGTGTGTGTGTAGCATGTGCTGAAGGCTTCTACGGTCCTGGCTGTGAGCATCGCTGTCAGTGTTTGAACGGTGGAGTTTGTCTTTCGGTCTCAGGGGCCTGTGAATGTCTGGCCGGATTCATCGGGGCCCGCTGTCATCTCAGTGAGTCCCGCACAGCAGCACTTGCTCAAAACACACTGTATATGTGTCAGACTGCAGCGTTTCAACAGCACGCTTGTCCTCCCGTATGCTCTGGTGTTCAGCGTGTCCGGCGGGACGGTACGGGCCGGACTGTGGCCGTGTGGCCGTCTGTGGAAAGGGGCTGAGAAACGATCCGGTCACAGGCGTGTGTGTCGGGGATGAAGGTGAGCTGGTGTTTGGTGAGGTTACATGTGTGTGTTGTCTGATGTCTGATGGCAGGTGTGTGTGTGTGTGTGTGCAGTCTGTCCCGCGGGCTGCTTTCAGCGCTGTGACTGCAGTAACAGAGGCCTGTGTGACGCTGTCTCTGGGAACTGTTCATGTGCTCTCGGCTGGACCGGCTCGCGCTGTGAGAAAGGTGATATATACTGTATATGTTTATTATTATCTATAAAGATCATAACGGTACGGTAACTCTACCTTAATGACTTTGTAAAGAACATGATCCAAGTCCCATGAACCAAGATTCATCTTTATTCAAAGGTTAAGATGTTATTTCTGTATACACTTCTGAAATGTTTAAAATGACTTTTCTGTTCATTTATAGACTAAATGTTTAAAGGGGTCATATGACGTTGCTAAAAAGAATATTATGTTGTGTTTGAATCATCAGTGGCAAATCCTTTAAATATGAAAACGTACTTACAGAGGCGGTCGGGCTTGAGAACGGCGCGGCCAGTGGATTCGACGAAGAAGCGTCCGGCGGGCTTGCGGCAACCACATGTGACGACCCCGGGCTGGACTCCACTTCGTCCACGGTGAAAGCCGATCCGGTGATCCACAGCACAAAGTTGATGTATTTCCTCAGCGACCAGCACAGATCAGCTCTAGGCATGATGAAGCAGATATCGTCCTCTTTTGGAAGACCAAACAAAGTAGTTTCACTTTCACAACGAAACACACAGTGTCACACACGGCGGGCTTGAGTGAGCAGAGGCGGTCGGGCTTGAGAACGGCGCGGCCAGTGGATTCGACGAAGAAGCGTCCGGCGGGCTTGCGGCAACCACATGTGACGACCCCGGGCTGGACTCCACTTCGTCCACGGTGAAAGCCGATCCGGCGATTCACAGCTCAAAGTGGTTGTATTTCCTCAGCGACCAGCACGGATCAGCTCTAGGCATGACGAAGCGTATATCATCCTCTTTTGGAAGGCCAACCAAAGTAGTTTCGCTTTCACAATGAAACACAGTGCCTTCACGAGATGGCGGCGGCAGCAACAACAATACTACAGCGAGAATAAAAGTTACGCCTTCTTTCTTTGCGTGAACATTTGGGCAGTGTTATGCAAATCTTCCCACATCGTGACATAGATATGTGGGGGCGTGTTAGAACGAGCCGTTTTAGGTAGGCGTGGCTGACTCTTAACTTTTATAAAGAATATCTCTTTGGATTTGAGACTTTAGTCTTTGCAACTTTACAGATCTTCTTTATGCACCAAGAGCTTGTAACACTCCAAAGAGAAAGGAAAAATTTAAATTGCATCATATGACCCCTTTAAATACGTATGAATCCTTTGTCTTCTTTATATATATATATATATATATATGTATATATATATATATATATATGTAGACATATTTATGGGTCAAATACATTAAGATGTCCGCATCAAAAGAAATTTACAAAAGTGATTTTATGTCCATAGAAAGCACATTAAATGCAAGTAAAGTGTCTACATGTAAAGTTTCAAATACGTTTTTGAAGAATAAAATGTAAAAATTTGGTTGAAATAATGTTCCATTGTCATTCAGTGTAACACTTATAGTTATGTAAAAATTCAAACAACATGCTTATTCTGACCTGTACATATTAAAATATATAAAAGAATAAGTGAGCATATTACATTTTATTGGGTTTTAAATGAGTAAAAAATTCTTACTGACAAATGGACTAAACCTAGGATAGTGGCAAATTAAAAAAAAATGTAAAATAACAACTAATTAGTATTTGGGGTGAAAATAATAAATTTTTTAATATGTCATAAATTGATTTTTGTTGTAAATATGCCTGACAAGATTGTTACACTGAATGATATTTTAGTGGGTGTCTTCTGTAAATCAGGGGAAAATGTATGATGTAAATTTTTTGCTCAGAAAAACAAAAATACAATTACATTAAACAGAAAACCTTAAAAACATTTTTGGGGAAAAACAACAATTTAAAGCAGTATTGTTTTTATGCTTAAACCCTTTTTCATCTTTTACCCATTATATATATATATATATATATATATATATAAATTACCTACAAATATTAATTTGATCTAGTTGAATATATGAATCAAAGTATAATTATATTAAATTATATAATTATTAAATCTAATAAATTATATAATAATGATCTGTTGTCATGTATAAAAAGTAATATATTATATATATATATATATATATATATATATAATATATTATAATGATCTGTTGTAATGTATAAAAATTATACACACACACACATAGAAATAATCAAGGTTAATAAAAATGATCTAATAATATATATATATATATATATATACAATAAAATAACAATACAATATTAATATATAATGTAATTAAATATTATAAAATAATTCTTAATGTTTTTAGGGAAAATATATATGTATATATTAATGTATATATCTATCTTATATATATATGTGAGCGTCTGTAATCAGAGAGTGTGTGTGTGTGTGTGTTGTCAGAGTGTCCCGAGGGTCTCTTCGGTCCTGACTGTGCTCTTCAGTGTTTGTGTCAGAATAACAGCACATGTGACCGAGTGACAGGAAGCTGCCGGTGTGAGCCGGGATATTACGGTCATCTCTGTCAGCTCGGTGAGATCCACACACAGCTTTGCCAGCACAGGCTGAGTGTTTGCTGTGTGCTGACCGTGTGTGTGTGTGTGTTTCAGCGTGTCCCGCCGGTCTGTTCGGCTCTGGCTGTCAGCAGCACTGTGACTGTGTGAACGGGGCTTCATGTCATCCCAGAACCGGACAGTGTCTCTGTCCCGCTGGATTTCACGGCTCTCGCTGTGAGAGAGGTCAGACGTTCATCATCTACACACACACACACACACACACACACACACACACACACACACACACACACGCACACACAATCTGCCTTATAGCTTCATGTGAGTGATATCTCCTCAGTTAGATTTTTGCCAAAATAAATCAATTATTAAAGGTGCAATAGGTGATTGTCTTCAGAAACATTTTTTGTTATGCTGGTTGAAAGTCTCTTCACATCCCGACAGCAATCATTAAGTTAAGTGGTCTAAATGTATTTATCTGTATTTATATATTCTGTGGAAGATGTAGAACCAAAAAATGTTCGTCCAATCAAAACGCTCGGTCCAAGCGTTTTAATTGGCTTTCCTACCTGCCTGTCAACGTATGTATTAGCATACCTCTGCGCACCCGGTTCGCACAGACAGGATACGTCATCAGCGCGTTCATGCACGCTGTGCAGACAGAGCGAGAATGGCAGACAAACATCAACAACCCGATCTTCCTTCCTGGTATAGTACTTTTAAAGTTTTCTCATTGGTGAATGACACATGATGTAGCCCAGCGGTTCCCAATTCCAGTCCTCGCGTATATCGCGTCATATTTTGCATGTCTGGCTTAGTTAACACACCTGAATCAGATAACCAGCTCGTTAGAAGTGAGCTACGTTTTCCGATCGATATGATCCCTACACAGTGTTCATTGCTCCCGACTAAAGTTAGCATTTTCCAAGATCTCCTACTGCACCTTTAAGTAACACTTTTTAAGTCATGTTTAAAACTTAATAAAATCATAACAAATATAAAAGTAAAAATTTAAACCATTAAAACATTTTGATATATATATATATATATATATATATGATTGACAGATAAACATTTATATGTAACACAATTACAAGATAATTCTAAAAATATTTGTTAATGAATCAAATTTACATATTTAATGACATATATTTAATTATACATACATATATAATACTGTATGTATGTACACACACACACACACATAAAACATATTTATTTCAACATATTTCATTTTAGCTAGTTAGCTAGCAGCCAGGGAAACATTTCTCATTTTTGTTTAGTTTACGTGCAAAAAAAAAAAAAAAAAAATATATATATATATATATATGTAAACCTTAAAAATCTTTTTTGTCTCTTGAAATAAACAACTTAAAAAAAAAAAAAAAAAAGCAAAATTAATAAAGCTTACTAATGAATTTTGTAAAAGAGGCTTTTTTTTCATCCTCAGAATGTAAGCAGGGCACATTCGGTCCGAGCTGCTCTCTGTCATGTGACTGTGCGGAGGACACACCATGTGACCCGGTGAGCGGCAGCTGTATCTGCACCTCAGGAAAGACGGGCGTCCGGTGTGACAGCGGTGAGTCCAGCAACACTAATGCACGTTCATGCACATATGAATATGCTTTTCTAATGTGTGCTGTGTTGACAGACTGCAGTGTGAGGCGGTACGGGCCCGACTGCGCGCTCAGCTGTGAATGTGAGAACGGAGCTCAGTGCGACAGCAGAAGCGGACGCTGCACGTGTCTGAACGGCTGGATCGGCCTCATATGCTCACAACGACAACCTGCTTCATATCACACAACAGAACTACAGAATCAGGGTTTGAAATCAAGCCAAACACTAAATAAACATTTTACAACTCAGAACTTGACTATAAATATATTTATTATTGCAGATGATTCTGAATCAGTGAATTGAAAGCTTTCGGTTTTATGATGGTCAGTCAATGTTTGTGGATACCATAAAATTAATTAAAAAGTGTAATTTATTGTATTTTTATATATAGCATATTAAAGACACACATATAATCAAAGAGATACTATTATAATATTTATTCATCCATTAACATCTAGTTTGTCATTTTTCTTTAAATTTTAGTAGTCTATATAGTTTTTATTGTTATATTTTGTTTACATTGAAGTTTTAGTAATTTTGTCGTTTTTCATTTTTATTATTTTTATATCTTGTTTACATTTGAGTAATTGTTTTTTCATTTTTATTAGTTTCTGTTAATAAGTCAGTTTATTTTTATTCATATTTATATCAGTTTTACTTATTTTAGTAACTTATCTTTTAAACTTATCAAGTTTAAATGAAAATGAGACTTTTTTTCTTTCTAAAATAAAATAAGTTTAGGTTCATTAATATTTGATTTCAGTTACTGTGTATTTTAATAGTAACTTTTTAAATTAACATTAGTTAACTACATTCGTTAACAAACAATGAAAAATACTTCTAAAGCATTTATCAATCTTAGTTAATGTTGATTCCAACATTTACTAATATATGTTATTAAAATCAAAAGTTGTATCCATTAATGTTATTTAATGGACCTGAGCCAAAATGAACTAACAATGATCAGTTGAATTTTAAAGCTTAATAAATACTGTAACAAATGTATTGCCCATTGTTAATGCATTAAATATAGTTAACAAACGGAAACTTATTGTAAAGTGTTACGGTTTGAATAACTCTGATAGACACGTGATTTAATGGCTGTGATTGTGTTTTTGCAGCTGGACCTCCAGAGCTGGACTCCAGATGTTCAGAAGAGAATCAGTCGCAGCTCAACACCTCGTAGCGCTAGCAAACACACACACACTGAGCTCAGTCACAGCACAACTGTGTTTAAGAGCTGTTTGCAGGTTCATCCAGACCCACAGGAGCCTCTTCAGCGATCACCTTCAAACACACAGATGCACTTTACCCGAGCTCACACTTGATCCTTCATCGCTCTTTCAGGGGATTCTCGTATCGTCTGTGTTTCAGTACTGTTGTGATGCAGAGATTTTAACGAGGCTGGATCATATTTGACTGGACTAAACAAGAGAAAAGTGTCTTTCCATTTCATAACACTCTTGTTTATTGTAGCATTTTTTTATTTTATAAAATAGAAGTCCCAGATGGTTTACTAATTTGACACAATCGGTGGTTGAACACAAACTGTATTTGTTTACCTCTTTGACAGACTGTAACATCTGATGAAACATCTGTGTGGATGTCAATATTGAACTGTACATGAAGTGATCTTTCACAATGTTAGAAATGGTGCTAGGATGGCCTTTATTAAAGGAGGACCTGTATATGTTAATATTAGAAAACATTCGCAACTGATGCATTTTTAATGCTTTTGATTAATGTTTTGTATAAAGTTTGGATTATGTTTTGTAAAATATACAATTGTAGATGTTTTGCTAACTTTTTAATGTGCTTAAAGTTTTTACTCGTGCCTCCCTGGAATGCTTTTTTCAAATTATTATTACTAAGCATGTGTTATGCATAAATATTTCAAAGAGTTGTGCACCATATTTTTAATTCAGCAAGTTGTCTAATCTTTAAAATCTAAAAAAAAAATTAAATACGGGGGCTGGATTTGTGAATTTTTTTTTTTTTTTTTTTAAGAATAACGTCTTAACTGCCATTAGCTTATTTTAACATCTTATTTTCTTAAACTCTGTTTGGGTTCAGTACATTTTTTTCCCCTTTTCTTTCTTTTTGAAAGAAATTGAATATATCCTTGCTGAATAAATGTATTAATGTAATCTATCACTTTTATAAAAAGTGATAGTAAAGACTTATTAGAAAAGATTTTAGTCAGCAAGGAATCCAGGAAGAAGTATCACAGGTTCTAAAGAAATATTAAGCAGCAAACCGGTTTCCATTATTGATAAATCATATTAGAATGATTTCTGAAGATCATGTGACACTGAAGACTGGAGTAATGATGCTGAAAATACAGCTGCGCATCACAGAAATACATTACATTTTAAAATATATTCACATAGAAAACCGTTATTTTAAATTGAAATAATATTTCACAATACTGTTTTTTTTCTGTATTTTTGATCAAATGCAGCCTTGACGAGCATAAGAGACTCTTGAATGGCAGTGTATATAAAACGTAAGCGCTAATGAAAATTTAAAATATGAAGAACAATTAGGGCGAATCAATACACTGAATAATTTAATGCTATTGTGTGACTAATATGTAATCATTTAATCAATATTTTAAAAATGTAATTTAATTAAATTATGAGCACTTCATTTGTGTAATCTTCTTATGTAATCAGTTACTAGCCAGCACTGCAAACCGGAATGCCAACAGCTCCATTAACGTATTTCATAAGAAACCGCAAAAGAGACAAACAAGCAGTTTTTTTCTTCATTGTCATCATTTTATAGTTGTCATTTCATAGATACTGCTGTACATGTCTAAATTCAGATTCAAGCACAATGCAGTCAGCAAATGCCTTTTGATGAAAACAAAAGAACCAAAGGCTGGAGTGATCAGGACCATGAATACTCATGTATATATATATGTACAAAGGTCAAACTATATACAGATACATCTGACTCGACATACAGTATTTCTCCACAAAGCGTGGAAATGTAGCTTGCCATTGTATACATTTCACAGAATTATCCAAAATGCATATTCAGTGCAAATAATTGCTCTTTGTAATTTTAAAAATGTAATTTAATTAAATTATGAGCACTTCATTTGTGTAATCTTCTTATGTAATCAGTTACTAGCCAGCACTGCAAACCGGAATGCCAACAGCTCCATTAACGTATTTCATAAGAAACCGCAAAAGAGACAAACAAGCAGTTTTTTTCTTCATTGTCATCATTTTATAGTTGTCATTTCATAGATACTGCTGTACATGTCTAAATTCAGATTCAAGCACAATGCAGTCAGCAAATGCCTTTTGATGAAAACGAAAGAACCAAAGGCTGGAGTGATCAGGACCATGAATACTCATGTATATATATGTACAAAGGTCAAACTATATACAGATACATCTGACTCGACATACAGTATTTCTCCACAAAGCGTGGAAATGTAGCTTGCCATTGTATACATTTCACAGAATTATCCAAAATGCATATTCAGTGCAAATAATTGCTCTTTGTAATTTTTGTCATCATCATCATCGTCGTCGTCATCTTCAGGTCAGTACCACCGAAGGGCAACAAAGAATGGTAAAAAAATAAAATCATATTTTTGTCTTTATCGTTGCAAAATATTAAAGAAAAATAATCTCCTCGGGAACTAAAGTATGGTACTTGAAAATAATACTTCGACACAACCGTCATCTCTGACCTGTCAAATATGGAGTGATAATTACAGATTTAATAGCAATTACACTTTCCCCTGATTTTCCAACTATTCCACTCTGAACTTAAAAGGTCGCTAATAAAAATCCTGCCACTTTTACAAACTACTCGGAGGCATGGGAAGTAATCAACGATATTCACGCCATCTTCACGAGATATTTCAGATGAGCAGACTCTATCAGTGCCTGTAAACGCAGTCAACATGAGAGCAGAAACAGCCTGACGTGGTACAACACTAATAACATGAAAATAATACGAAACTCAAACATGAGTCCAGTCAAACGCACTGATGAACGCTGGGATTCTGGCAGCTCTGCTATCGCAAACACCAAACTAAACTAAGAACTGCCGTTATTCACAAATCTACTGCTCACAGTAGCTCTCACACACGTTAAGTGATGTCGTTTCATTTCGATGATATTTCAGCTTACTAATATTTTGGTGACAACACAATGAAATATAAAGGAATGTTTCAGATTCAGTACGACTGAAGCTCTATGGACATCACGAACACTTGTTGACAGTAATGAACCTGCAATGCTCTAAGCTTATGAGGCAAGAATGTATTCAAATATAGTTTGTCAAGTTGTAGGGCTGTGCAAAAAAACAGAATGCGATTTTCATGCACATCTCGTCAGTAAAGCCGCTTCTGTGATTAGTAGTAAATCTCCAGCACGTGCTTTCAAGCTACGCAAAATCACGTTTAAAATCGCAGGTGATTCATTGCCGATTATGAACGTGATTTTGCGTAGCTTGTCAGTGAA